GGCTAAGTCCGAAGTATTGGTTTTCTCTGGAGCCGTCGGACGCTTCGTGTTAGTCGGCCTCCATCAACCTCTCGTTATAAGCCTTCATAGACTTGTTTTCGTTGATTCTCTGTTGGAGAATCTCCATCGCTCTTACGCGAGTCTCGTGAGAGATCGCGTATTTCTCTGTGTTCCGTATGGGTAGATTACGGGTGGCCATGCCCTGGGCGCCGCGATACTCGCAGGCGTCCGCCTGTCGGCACTACTTTGCGCCGTCACCGCAACTCTGTTATACAAAGGAGCACATAGCTGATGATGGCATATACCAACTTTTCATCCACAGGCAAGAGAGAAACATCATTTGCCTTCAACTACAATCGCATCACACTTCATAAAAGATGTATAACCTGTGAATAGAAAATAGCGAAGGCATCAATCCAATTACATCATGGTACTGCCAATGCAAAGTAGGCGCTAGAACGGTCAGTTGTTGTACGCATATAGCATTAGTTCTATGGTATCTGTAATATTTGAGACATTGTGAACATTTAAAGCAAAGACCATGTCAGCAATATACGCAATATGTTGAAAATACAGCTGAATTTCAAATTGGTCCGAACTAGGGAAAGACGAAGCTCTATCTGATTAGGTCAGATAGAACTGGCAGAATTAAAAACCTCCCGGCTTCTTAAGTTTTATAAGCGCACAGAAGGTAAAAAATAGCTTCTCTCCGCAGTATTTATCATATTTTCTAAATGTCCTGAATTTTCTAAATCAACTCTAAACCACAGTTTTATCGTCCAATTTCTTATAAGCAACATTATTGCTTGCATACTTGGTGAAAATAAAATGTACTAATTAATATGGAGCTCGATTTCAATGTGATGAAGTAGTGATGCAAAGAAGTAAAATAACCGCTTTGATATATTTTATGCACTATATATAGTTTTTGAAAAAGTATGGTGATGGTGGCTCATTGATAATAGAGTGAAATGAAGCAGACATTGCAACTATGCGTGATATCCCATGTAAATATGAGATCTAAGAGTGCCTCATTCTCAGCACCTAATTACTTGAACAACAAACGGTTCTAGTGGGTTATGAGTTCCACCAAGACGAATAAAATAACATAGTTTAAAGTGATTCTGACGTTGGCCAAAAACGGTCTTATTGACATCCCTCTTTTCAGCATGAGGAGAATTGAAATTTTAGGTGGATCACTTTGTAAATAATGTTGCGTAAGTCAAAATGTTCTATCATAATTTTAATTGACCTCGAATATTTGAAAAAATCTAGAAAAAAGAATATATACACACGTACATATATACGCGCGCGCACACATACATAATGAAAAATTTCTAATATTTCTTTTATAAACTATTCATACTAAAGTCAAAGGAAAATATCACTACTCGTATAAAAAATATATCTTAGCTTCAAAGCTACTTAAAAAATTAGTGTCATAGGATTTTCAAGTTTATAACTAAAGTACTTAAATATACTTAAGTTAAGTATATAACTAAGTATATAAAGAGGGGAATTACATGCGGAAGGCCGTTTTCAAGGCTATTTTTACGAATTTTTTTAACAGAAACAGTAGGATCAATGGATTTGAAATTTGCACAATATATTTATTAATGTTTAAAGTATATATAAATAAATTTTCATGTTTAAGTAAATTTTATTGAATCACAAGAACCGATCTACTTTGTAATTATAGATAAAAATACAGTCATCCGTTTGCGAGTTCTATGTTTGCTTTCGACATAATTCCGAGCCTCTCACTACTCTGAAACCAGAAAATGAGAAAGATTTAAAAAATATATGTTTGTCATTATAGCCTGTACCAAAATGAAGGCGTGAAGCCAAGTTTGGAAAAGTAATGACTGTACAAAGAAAAAAGTATCGAGAATGAAACCTTTTTCAACTTTTAATCATAAATAAATGAATAGAGTAAAATATAACTGGGTTCGAGGTAGAGGCGAAAACTACATGTCTACTGTATATTGTGTAAAAATTTCAAGTTATTCGGTTCAGTAGTTTTTGCGTAATCGTGTCAACAGTTTAAGAAAATATCGTTTTTAGAAAAACGCGTTTAAAGTTTGTGTATTTTTCATATAGTAACAAAGTTTCTGAACTTACGATTAATCAGCCATTGCAGGTACATAAAATGAGTCCTCATCTTCCTCAAAAAGTTCTCCAGAGGCCACTTATCTCTCAGTTTTCGGATTTAGTCCTCCGAATTTCAATGGAGAATCGACGCTACGCGCGATCGATGCGTTCGTGGTCTTGTTGAAGTTCAAACATCTCCACTTTTCTGCCGACTTTCACGGCCATAACTGACAAAATTTTCAAAATAGGTGCATATTCTTCGTTAAAAATAACAACGGCTAGGAATATCGCTATTTCTATTGTTTTTAAGCCTGCATGTAAATGTTTTGGTACGAAGTGCCAAATCATCGTATTGAGATTTTCGTTATTATTTTGCGTGTTTGCACCCAAACATCTCATCAGAAGGTCGTCTCTTGAAAGATCCTCGTATATTGATTTTATTACTTGGAGAACTTTTTCATTTAAAGGCTGGTAATCATGTTTAAAATCATCTAAAGTTCCCTGTGTCTCAGCGCGTCGCTACGCACATCAGCTTGATGGACCCGGCGGACATTGTATATGCTGAGGCTTGGTGTCGCTCGAACTTTTATGAAAATAAGTGATCTAAATTTAATTTCTCATATCTTCCACAGAGTTTGGGTGCCGTGTAATAGCCAATCCATAATATTTCCTAAGATCGTGGATAGTTTTATCTGTTAGGTTTCCAATTCCTTTGCCTCCGATGCTTTCGTTATTTTTTTTTTACATTTCTCAATCTCGTACCCTTTCCTTTCTGTACGTAATGTCTCATTTGTCCGCCTAGATAATAAGCGAATGGGACCTTCGCGCGACTTAGTAACGATACTTAAAGTCAGCGCGCTTTTGTACTCAAACCGCTTCTGCTCCGTCAATTTTCCGATATCTTTCTGCTAACTTCACACAAATGTTTAAATGTATATATTTTAAAAATATGCAATAAAAAAAGAATAGCCAAAAAATTTTTTTTCCATGTAATTCCCCCTTAAAAAAATAGAATTCACATTTTTTCGAAAAATATATTAATGTAATATGTTTGCTATTAGCGTCACTCATATGTGGCGCAACGATCTAGACCAGCGTTACATATGTGTGACAGTAAAAAATTTTTTTCTATGCACATTATCAAACTAAAACTGTTTGATAATGTGCACAATTACGTAATAAAAGAAATACAAAGTAGGCGATGGAGAGAATCCTCTAAATAAACTGTGGTAACGAACGTGTATTAAAGACCTTAAAAAAACCTATTTTTCATAAGAAAAAAACAAGTTTTATTAAAAACTAGCGGTTATTTTTTTTTACTTATATTTATATAAAATATACATTATTGTGTAAAGTTAATAATTTTTTGTCATATAAAATAAAATTAGTAATTATAAAAATAATATAATAGCTTATAAAAGAGAGATCAATGATTATACATCGGATTTCCACAATTACCACAACAATAAAATTTGTTTCTATTAGATGGATAGTGGAAGAATATTTTCCTTTTGTTCATCTTTATTGGTTGAATATTTTGTGTTACATTACTTACATTTTTATAATTTCAAAAATGAAACTTTTCTATGTTCGTCTGAATTATTTGGTTTGTAATAGAGTCTATAGCAAGGGTAAAACTCAAATTTTTTAGGAACAATCGTCGTAATATTTTTTTTATTAGATATATAAAAATTGTATAATATGGATGCATTAACTCTTTATAAGTTTGTGATCGATATTTTAAGCAACTCATATAAGGTTCAAAATATCTGTTACTTTATTGAATATTCTGAATATTGAAAATTGATCTTTATTGAATTATTACTGAATATTCGACCATACAGATATAGATTTTATAAATGATATGTAATGGAAAACAGATCTACAAGTACTTACCATATACTGTTCAAAACATGAAAGTATGATATTTACTTATAGTATATAATATAAATTAACATTTTTGTAAGTTTTTTTACATGAGTATTGCTGCAAATAGATTGCAAATAACTAGATTCGTGCAAATAAACAATGTTTTTGTATTTATATAAAGTTTAAGTTTCTTACTTACAAATTTTAATAAAATAGCAATTTTGCACAAGTAGTTAAAATATTGACCATAAAACCTGAATGACTGAGCACTTTGCCTGTTGATTGTGGTCCAATTGATTATGATCGATTTTTTTCCAAGTAATAATCATAATAATAATATACAAAGTAATATAAAGTTTCTTATATTTTGCACATTTGTCATGTATCTAAATATGTTATATAAACTTGTACTAGACATTAGAGTCATCGTTTAAAAAAAAATATTTGCCTTATAAAGGTTTAAAATACGAATAGTTCATCGTTTTATTCTTCTTGAAATATACTTAAGATTTCCTTAGCGGTTCTTTATGTGCTTATTTTTACTCTCTATAATGGAGAAATAAACTTACACTTCACACAATATATGTTTAAAAATATTAAAAATATTAGAAAATACAAAAAAGCAAACTTCATTTACTTCGAGGAAATGCAATTGTTTAGTCATACACATATATATACATACACATATATGGGTCCATTTTAACCCTACATGAAGTTTACTGCTCACTGTTTGAAAGTCAACTGAAATTTTTCGCTGCCGCTGTAGCGACATATTCAGCATTGAAAACTTTTTTAGGAAAGAGCGAGTTTAAATAGGTTTTCAAAATATTTTATTAAGAAATAGGAGTTATATAAAATAATCCATATTTGACTTTTAAGCGTTAATTATGAAATTAATTTTGGATAAATTTTAGCTGAAGTATAAGCTATTTTATTTATTTCTATCTACTAGCAAATAACATCTGTATATGTGGGATCTTTAAAATATCCTACATATCAATTTCAATTTTTTTCATATGTTTAAAAAGTTATGCATATAGTTGCAGAGTGGTAGTTCAGGACTAGTACAATGTGCTCAGTCGTTAAGCGTTGGTGTCAGTAACGCGAGTGGAGATGGCAACAGTAACAATAGCAGCAGTAGTAGTGGGAATAGCGACAGAAGAAGAAGGAGTGGTCTTAGCACTGTTATGCAGCGGCCAGGTATAACGTAATCAATGTTTGAATTATATCAAGTCTTTTTCTGCAATTAATGATTAGAGTCGCACGATTTATATGTATTTATATGTACATGTATTTATAAAGTGTTTATGTAATATTTACACTTTATATATATATATACACACACACATACACATACATAAAGTGACTCAACACAACGCATGTATACAAGCAGATTAGGTCAAACTGAACAAAAAAATTCCTTTACACTTTTCAAAAAACTATATAAAATTTCGAGATATTAATAAAAAAAATATTAGTGAATCAATACGTGTGAGGCAAGCTCAGTAGACGCGAGCTCATTGAAAGATGGTTAAAACGTGACTTTTAGCGAAAGTTGCTATTGTTTGATAACTAAAGGCAGATGTAAAGACATCGATGTGGAGACAATTGTTTTTTCACATATCGCAAGCGTGTCATACGCGTGTCGCTAAGAAACAGTTGCAAGTACAGAAATCTATAGTATACTGGACTACTAGCCTCGATTCCCTAGACGTCCTAGTATATAATGTACAACTCGTACAAATGTGTCCACGCATTATTTCGTATGTATACACATTGACCCATATACACATTTCAATTCGGTAACCTTATAAGCGGATAATTTTTATATTTGTAAAGTCATTGCATTCAATTGGTTACTAAGTCCGCTCCAATGCGTTATGTTAAATATATAGATTTTGGATACACAGAATTTAGGGATTATATAGGGATTATATAGTATGTTGTAGATGTCTGTAATTGCAAGTATCAGGGAATTTTTATACGCTCGCGTCTACAGAGTTCATCTTACAGCGTTGCATGCACTGATTCGCTAGTCTTATTTTATTAACATCTCGAAATTTTATGTAGTTCTTTGAAAAATAGTGCAGGAATTTTTTGTTCAGTTTGACATAATCTACCGTCACACGTGCATCGGCGTGTCTTGCGTCAAATGTGTGTACGTCAAATGTTGCGTCAAATATTGCGTCTGTGTGTGTACGTATATACAAAATGTCCCAAACTCTTCTCCACATATTTTGTGAGAATGTAGAATGGGTTGAAGTGAACATAAAAGTCTTATACCATTTTACGATATTCGCAATAATAATCGAGAAATTAATTGTAAAATATTAAGGAAAAACGCACGCTGAATGGTTGAGGGAAGAACGCTCGCGGCTTAATAATATAATGCACGGATGTCGGCGCACGGTGATTGGAAAAACAACGCACCATTACCTATACTTATATCGCTGGACTCCTACATCTTGCCTCGGTACGGCAAGATGTAGGATCATAGCAATATAAGCCGCGCGGTGATATCTGCCTACTGTATTACTGGGTCATGAGCGCTTCTCAACCATACAGCGTACGTTTTTCCTTAATCTTTTACAATTAATTTATCGGTTATTATTGCGAATATCGCAAGACGGTATAGGACTTTTATGTTCACCTCAACCTGTTCTATGTTTCCACAAAATATGCAGAGGAGAATTTGGGACATCCTTATAGAGGATGGGGAAAAAAGGCCGGTACCCCTGAATAACTCAGAAAATATCATTTTTATAGAAAAACGTTTCAGACAGAAGTTGTAGGGCATAAAGAGATTTATTTATTGATATTATTAGTTTGATCTTGGGTAGGATCGCTAAGATCAGGATAAAGTTACCTTGAATTTTTTTAATGAAATCACCTATTTTTTGATTGCATATTATAGCTTATCTCGAAAGTTTTCCAAAACACTATAATAATGTATTTTTTCATTAAGGTAGTTGTTTCCCAACTGTGGTTTCCCAAAATTAAAATTAGATTTTAAATAAAAGGTTCAATAACTGATGAATTCTTTTAAGTGAAAATAAAAAACAGATTTTTAAACATTATTGGTTCTCTCAGAAAAGTAAAAATCGATAAAATAAATGAAATGATAGAAAAAAAAAACAGATGCTGAATTGCGTTGTAGTTACGGAACTATAGATCGTGGCAACGTCGCATCTCTATTAATGTTATGCGACGCCAAGCTATACAACGTTGCCACTTCCGCAAAACATAGTCGCGAACGAAAAAACAAAAGCCAAACTTATTTTTGCTGATTAATCATACTCTAATAATGTACGGTCAATTTCGCTGAGACTGAAGTATGTACTTCTGTAAGTATTCAATTAATTTTGCCCAAATTTTCATATTAATCCTTATGATAGGTCATTTGCAGCTGACAAATGCGCGTTTACATGTTACTTTTTATACGTCAGCACCAATGTGAGATATCGAGAAAAGAGTAAACTATAAACGGTAATTTCTCGGAAACTATACGGTTAATCAAACCCATATTTAACACACATTAATATCTAACACACGTATTAATATCTAAATTAATTTTGCTACAAGTTTCAAGAAGATCTTGAACTTAACTGTTTTTGATCTAACTACCTTAAGTACGTTTTGAGTAATAAAACTTGAAAGTTACAATACCGTTGGCATTAGCATTACCCAAGATGTACCGCGCGGAGGTTGCTCCGTCGGATTTATATCTCTTTCGTATATGTATGTGTGTGTGCGTGCGTGTATGTGTGTGATGTGATGGTCCTCAGTCCTTATCTGTTCTTTATCATCGTAAACATTCATCCAATTACCCATACATCCATCCATGCACACGTACGCATGCACGAACACACACCCACATATATCTGTACACACACCCACACCAGACTTACCCTTCCACTCACGCACGCGCGCAACACACACGCAACACAAAAGATGTGTAAATCCGACCGCGTAACCTCCACATGGTATTTTGAGTAATGCTAATGCCGGCGGTGCAGTAACTTTCAAGTCTCATAACTAGAAAAGTACTTAACGAAGGGACACTTTATTATAGTCTTTTGAAAAGCTCTCGAGGTAAACTGAGAATATGTAATAAAAAAATAGGGCTTCCATTTAAAAAATTCAAGATGACCTTGTCCAGACCTTAGCGATCCCACCTAAGATCAAACTAATAACGTGAATAAATATATCTCTTTACACCTTACAACTTCTACTTCAGACTTTGTCTGAAACATTTTTCTATAAAACTTATATTTTCTGAGTTATTTAGGGATACCGATCTTTTTTTCCTACTCTATGTATATATATATATATGTGTGTGTGTGTGTGTGTGTGTGTGTGTGTGTGTGTGTGTGTGTGTGTGTGTGTGTGTACACTTTGTATACACACACGCACACACACAGAGTGTTGTAGACTTTTCTTTATATATTTTTGTGGGAATATAAAACGGGTTGAAGTGAATATAAAGGTCATGCCGTTTTGCGATATTCGCAATAATAACCGAGAAATTAATTGCGAAAGATTAAGGAAAAGCGTATGCTAAATGGTGGAAAATGGAGCGCTCGCGTTACAGCGCAGCCTAGTAATGTAATGCGCGGATATCGGCGCACGGTGATTGGAAAAACAACGCATTACTACTTATATCGCTGTATTCCTATATCTCGCCTCGACGCGGTTCAGCAAGATGTAGGATTACAGCGATATAAGTATAGACAGTGGCGCGTTGATCTACCATTTGCCATACGCTGTACGCTGACATCCGTCTGCTATATTACTGGGTCGTGAGCGCTCTTCCCTCAACTATTCAGCGTTTTTCCTTTTATAATTTATTTCTAGGTTATTATTGCGAATATCGTAAAACGGTATAGGATTTTTATGTTCACCTCAACCCGTTCTACATTCTCACAAAATATGCGGAGGAGAGTCTGGGATACCCCGTATGTGTATATATATTGTATGTATGTATGTATATGTACAGAATGTCTAAAAAGTTCCGGAACGGCTAAATAACTTCTCAGGAAAACGTTACCGAAAAAAACGTTAAATACAAAAATTTTAGGATTGGAAACAAGGAATTTGATGATGAACTTGATCTTGTTGCAAAGGTCAAGTTTAAAGATTATTTCAAGGTAAACTTGAAAATGTTAAATGTAAATCGCCATTTTTTATCTAGGAAATGGAAAGAATGAGAAATTTTACGTCCGGATATATATTTAGTCATTGCACGTGATCCTTGATTTTCGAAATTATCATTAATGAGAAAGTTTACTCCATAAAGTACATTCGTACACGACGAATTTGTATGGCATTAATGTGAACGTAATGTCTGATCAAAATTGAGTCAAGCTCATTCCTAGGAGTCATTTAGGAACTGAATAAATTTTCCCATGTAAGATCATGCCAAAAGACTAATTAAAAAAACTAGATTACTTTCGAGGTATTTTTCATTATGCTCCATGCATCAAATTTTTCATCACAACTGTTTCGTAATACGTACTGTGTGTAGAATTACTGTTCTCTGAACCCGGAAATTTCCAATTGGTATTGTTTAAAGATTTCTTTTCGATTGTATCCGTTCGATGAACAAGAACTATTAATGAGATTTTTTCATCCATTTAATGATAAATTAGCTGTTTTCCTTTCAACTATCTATTAATTTTGTTATTCTAAAATCCAAAAAGAAGTAAGTTGAGTTATTGATAAAAAATCATTAAAAAAGTTGAACAAATACGTATCCGAAAATTTCCATCTGTATTACTACTAAATGCAATATCAAAATGCAATGTTTTACTGAACGAGAAAGAATATATCTTCTAATGATGAGAGGTTGGGGGTAAAGTCAGAAGATCTTATGATCAAGTAAAAAACCTTTTCAATACAACTTTTAGGAATGGGATGATTCCTATTTCACAATCAACTGTCGAAAGAACTGTTAGATGGTTTGAAGATATAGCTAGCGTCAAAGATCGATCTAGATCAAAAAGACCAAGTTCAGCAACAAATGCAGAAAAATCATTGCATGTTTTGTTATCATTCACAGAAAACTTTCATAGTTCTATCCGCAGAACTGCTCAAGAACATGAAATAAGTAGAATGACTGTCCATAACATATTGAAAAAAAAAAATTGTTTACCTTTACAAAATTAGACTTGTTCATGAGTTAAATGAAGATGATTTCGATC